TTTTAGTCTCCAGCAAAGTGCAGAATATGACCAAAATGTAGACAAACTTTATGCCTGAGCATAACACACATGGCCAGTAGTAAAACTGCCAATGGAGTCATCAGCTGACACCTCCTGAGCCTTGTCTTTATAATCTGCATTTCTATCAGTACTCTGGACTTCTGAGCTTCAGCCAGAACTCCCATTATGGTCAGCTAATTGCATTCTAAGGCCACTTCTCCAACTGGCATCTCCAAATTTTTCCACACTCCCCCCATGAACCAGTTCAGAAAACATCTAAAATACATGGTCAGTATAGTCACAGCAAGGACCCCACTTCTCTGTCTTAGTTACTTTTCTGTCACTGAGACATAATGCCTGACATTTGCAGTTTAAAAGAGGAGAGGTTTATTTTGGCTCACATTTCAGATAGCTGGCTCCATGGCTGGACATGCAAACAGGAAGCAGAGCATCAAAGGAGGAACCAGGAAGGGAGAGATAACAGTGACCTGCCTCTTCCAACTAGACTCCACCTCGTAATAGCAAGTCAGATGTAATGGCTCTATAATCAAGTCAGCTTCCAAAAGCCACACCTATGATTCTCTGAAGCTGTAGGAGGACATTTGACTATAAACCAAAGCAGAACACAAATTGTTTAGTGTCATTTAAAGGCCGACTTCCACCTCTTTGTGATCACAGATGATGCTTAGGCAAAGCTGTCAGTGGTGGGCCTAAATCCACACCTGGTATCTCAGTTGTCTGTCTTTCTTTCTTCCTTTCTTTTCTTTCTTTCTTTCTTTCTTTCTTCCTTTCTTTTCTTTCTTTCTTTCTTTCTTCCTTTCTTTTCTTTCTTTCTTTCTTTCTTTCTTTCTTTCTTTCTTTCTTTCTTTCTTTCTTCTGTATTTTAAAATGAGTGCACAGGTAGAGTTGGGCTCTTCGTCAAAACTTCTTGTTCATCTTACATGCACAGAGTTCTTAATTGTGGACCCCAATTCCAGAGACTGCTAGTATGTGTTCTTGGAGGTGTGCCTGGCAGCATATACTCTAAATGTTTCTGACCAGGGCTGAGGGGTTGGGCACACTGGGTCTGTGCTGTTGATTAGGATCAGTGTACCACAGTAGCTAATCAGTGCTACTGCTCATAATCTGCCATGATTAGGAGCCTCCAATATTCTAGGGCAATGATGAAGTGCTTAAATGGCTCCTTCCAATCAGTCTCAGCCTTAGATTCCTACCTGTACCTCCACTGTGGCTTCTGCTACCAGTAGCATCCCTGACCCCACAACTCTTTTTGCCCTCACTGCTTCCAGGCCCTAGCCTAGCCTTAGCATGCTTGATCTCTTTCCAGCTTGCAGTTTCAGCAGCACCCAAGCTATGGAGGTGCAGCTCTTCCCTGGCAAATACCAAGCCTGACTTGAAAGATAGTGGTGACTAGGCCAAGTGCCAAGTAATAGCCGCTCCCCATAACTTCTTTCTGATAAGGCTTTCTTAAATTAGTAATGTACATTTTTGAAATATAATGAATACATGGTCATCATGGCAAATTTTTTATATACATATCGCATCTTACTCCTTTTTATTTCTCCTTCCCCTCTCCTTCCTCCCATCACTCCCCTCCTTAGATTCCCTTTTCATACGCACAAAGTACCTCCCTGTTTCTGATCATCTAGCTTTATTTTGCTCCTCCACATTTTATATTTCTCATATAATAGAAAGCATGCAATGTTTACCCTGTATCTAATTTGTTTCTCTTAGCATTATGGTCTCAGGGTACATCTACCTTCCTACAAATTACTAATATTAACCTTCTTTGTGGCTAAGTAGTACTGCACTGTGTATCTACACCATATTTTCTTTATCCACTCATCTGTTGATGGGCATTTAGGCTGCTCCCAAGAGTTAGCTATCATGAATTACACTGCTATAAACATGGGTATGCAGGTATTACTGTAATGTGATGTCTTTACTCTTTAGGGAAGATACCCAAAAGGGAGTTGTGTCAAATGGGATTTCTATATTTAGTTCTTATGAGGTTTTTACAATTTTTACAACATGGCATGTACTCAAAACTTCCACATCCAAAAGTGCTGGGGCAGCAGTGGCAGCTTTACTTTTTTTTTTTTAATTTTATCTTAAAGGGAAAAGAACAAAAACAAAATGACAAAGATAAGCAAAACAACACAAAAACTATAAAAATGATACAGAATTTCAAAAGTGGGTGATGGAAAATTAACAATGATTGTTGTATTACTTATTGTTATCTTCAAAGTAGTTGCTCAGATTACCAGATTTAGGTATGTAAGATTGATCAATTAAACATTAACTGTTCCTTTCAATAAACCAATAGAAATTAGTAGTACAATTATCTTAGCTATCTTGTGTATATATACATTTTTTTCCTTTCCTTCCTTGCATAGTCTTCTGAGCTATCTGTATTTTAAACTATATTCATTAATTTCCTATTCAAAAATTATAAATTAATATAAAAGGAGAAACATAATTCCACGTTCAAGAAACTTAACAGTGCAATAAGAAAGGCACATAAAAGAAGTATAATATTGGAGGTTATAATAAAGTATGTTCATTGACTAGAGAGACATCATTTTTCGCTGGGGCAGCAGCGGGTGGAGTGTGATCAGGAACAGCTGATTGATCAAGTTTTGAGAATGTATAGCAGAGTAATGATTGACCAGTTTCTTCCTGATTGTCTGAGGATGGACAGCAGTATCATATATACCTATATACAGATAGAGAGGAAGATGTAACTATCTACTGGAGCTTGTTAATTGTACACACTGACCTGGTTGTTCTGTGAGCAGTGAAGAATGATGTCATGAACCAAAGGAGAAAGTAATGAGTCTTATTGGAAATAATATGAAAAAAAGCCTGCAATAAGGATCTACCAAGAAAGGAAAGCTGTCCAATATATTTTCTTTGTCTTGGCCTTATGTACATAGGCAGAGCCTGAAAGTTTGTTTCAAAGGAAATAGTTCAAACAATTTCAAAAGAAAACTAGTTACCTTGCATTTGTTTGTCTGGGGTCCAGAGGCAGGGAGGACGTGTTAAAGCTGTTAACTAACTTAGTGTATGTACCCTGGATAAGAGTCTTCTCCCTGCGGGGAATACAGCAATCCCTCATCTATCACAGGAGTTACATTCCAGAGACCCCTGCGATAAGTGAAAATCCATGAAGTAGCAGCGTTATATTTATTTTATTATTTATATATATTTTAAGGCTTTATAAACCCTTCCCATGCTCCTATAAACCTTTCCCACTCTTATTAACCTTTACACACTCCTGTAAACACTTCAAATGCTCTTAAACACTTTCCACACTCTTAAACCTACGTAATTTTAATAACATGTAAAATTCTATATGGGTATTCGACCTGAAGTGGACAAGGAGAGATGCTGAACATACGGGCACAGTGCAGGAGAGCAAACAGACTGATGCTATAGTCACTGAGCCAATCAGTGCCCAGGATACAGAACACAGTGCTGTGGTTGGTCACCTTCCATTCCATCAGCCAGTAGTATGCCATGTACAATCTCACATTGGCAAACTTGTGCAAGCGGTAGTGGTGTACTGCATTTTCATTGTGTATGGTACAGTATTCATCCACTGATGAAATATATACTGTATTTTATTTTGATTTAATATTCTTTTAATATGTTTGAATTAACATTTTTTATATTTTTATATTGTTTTAAATTTTTCAGCCAAAAATAATTAAAATCATAAGTAGTATATAAATACCTATATACCACAGAATCCTGTGGTATAGCAAAAACTCCACAATACAGAATTAGGTATATTTTTTTAAAAACCTGCAATACAGTGAAGTTACAGTAAGTGAACACAATATAGTGAGGGACAGCTGAGTAGTCCTTATTTTTCTGTTCTTCCAGCATTTTATCCTTTGTTCTTGTGTTTTCTTTTACATTTCTAAGCTTTTGTGGCTGCTTGATTAACCTGCTATTGATTAAATTAGCTCTTTTATCTGACCCTATTGTTAGACTGCTCTAAGTGCCTACTCATAATGACTATGCTAAGGGACTGCACTATTGCAGAACCTAATCTGAATTCCTGACATACTTGCTAGCTTCATTTCACCAACAGCTGAATCACAAATATTTCGGCTTCTCTCCCTTTCTTCCTCCCTCCTTTCCTTTCCCCTTCTCCTATTCCTGTTCTGGGTATCCCAGTGGACTGCATTCAGACATCCACCACACTGGGAGTAAGAGAAAAGACAATGATGAAAGGAAATGAATTTATTTACAGTCTGTCCAAGCTATGATGACAGCTAGTCTGCCTCCTGGAACTCTCAGAAGCAGTAGGATAAATGGGAAAAGAGTAAAAGCAGGAAGCCCAGAGATATGCATATGTATCAAACTGTGTGGGATTACCAGTCTGGTGTTTTGTTTCATTTCAGTTGGGTTTTGGTTTGGTTTTAGTTCTTTTGGCACCTTTCTAGTGCCAGGGGCCAGTGCTTTGGGGAGCGGTTTCCGTTCACCATTGGTTCTCAGCGTTAGATGATTGCCTATAGGAACCCGGAATGCAGAAATAACTTAAAAATAGGTGAGTAAAGGGGCTGGGGATTTAGCTCAGTGGCAAAAGCGCCTGCCTGGCAAGCGTAAGGTCGTGAGTTTGGTTCCCGGTACTGGAGAAAAACCAAAAAAAAAAAAAATAGGTGAGTAAGACAATGGCTTTGTCTCCTTTAAATTTCTGAGTTTAAAAAAAGCAAATGCTGCATTCCCCCTTCTTCCCCACTCCTTTCAGTTTAAAAAAGAGCAACTGCTACATTCCCTACTTTCTCCCCCAACATTTTTTGTAAGAGAAGGGACCTGTGCGTTAACAAATGAAGTTTATTGAATAGCAACTACATTAATTTTTTTGTTGGCTAAAGATGTTATAAATAATCCCAGAGATATTGTTGAAAGCACATATTTAGTGTGTGCCAGCACATGTTTACAATCATCTACTTTGTCTGGACTTCCTTACATATACACTCTTTTTCTAGGTGGCAGAGTTACTTCTTTTGAATGGAGCTGACCCATTATTTAGAAGAGACAATGGGAAGTCTGCTTTGGATGAGGCCAAAGACTCACGTATGAAACGTCTCCTTGAGAAATATGTTCCTAAGTATCAAAAGCATCTTACATCAGGTAAGCTTAAAGTTCCTTGTTAGAGCTGTTCATTATGTTGGTAGAGAGTTATAGAAATTGAATTTAGAATTACAGAAATTAAATCTTTTTCTTGTAAAAATAAATTGTAAAAACTTACTCAGTGAAGTCTTTGCTCTATTCTTTAAAGAAAGCATACTGACTTCAGTAGAGTTAGAAACAAAGGAGGTGAGTCAGTCTCTCCCTTCCCTCCCTTAGACTCTAAACAGCACCCTCCGTTATTCCTACTTCCATTATCCTAAGAGAGGTAGAAAATAACAAAAGCCTAGCAGCTCTCTGATACCCCAGGTGAGAGCACTGGTGCCAAAGCACTGGCGGACAAGGGGGTTCAGTGGGAAGCACCTAAAGGAGAGGCATCTGGCCTTTAAATTATTTTTTGGGGTGGAGGGGATGCCACACACATTTTCATGCCAGGATCAGCATCAGACAACTCAAGATTTGAGATGTAATCAGATACAGAAATCTGAGGCAGTTGGAAGATAATTCTGCTGAGGAAAAACAAGAGTTCCACACGTCTTTAAAAGGCAGATGAAGAATTCTACCCCATATGATCTAATATAAACATTTACATCTTAGTTAAACATACATGTTTCAAAAGTTCTGGCAGTATCAAATATAGTTCACACAGTTTTATTATATGTTTGCCTTATTTTCTGGTACATACTATATGCTACTATTTCAGAAAGCAAACTAAGTACAATCATATTTATCTTAGATAAATACATCCTGTATATTTTCAATAATGTGATAGAATTCATCACAAAAATTTAAAAACTACATATGGTTTTCTTTTTTGTTTGTTTGTTTGTTTGTTTTTTTGTTTTTTTACGGTACTGGGAATAGAACTCACGACCTTATGCTTGCCAGACAGGCACTGTGCTGCTGAGCTAAATCCCCAGCCCCTAAAAACTACATATGGTTGAGAAATACGCCAAAGGGGGAAAAGTAGTCTTAAATGTGGTGGTGTGTTTCCTAAGCTGGAACAGAATTCTGCATTACCTGTAGCATTCACACCTCTCCGTTAATGCTGTTAGCAGTTCTTCTGGCCTTTAAATTCTGAAAGTCTGAGTTAATGGCCACTTTTCCCTATTTTTGCTGTTGCCTTTGACCTGTTGGAATGCTTTTCTGTCACCCCAGAACCTTTCTTGGTCTGTGTTATACCATTGTTGGCATGGACTGGCTCCAAGCATAACTTCCCTGATCTTCAGTAAACATAGCACTTGCTACTGGGTGTCTATTTGGCAGTTCTTTGCTCCTTATGCACAAGAAGCTGGATTATTATTGGCCCACTCAACTTTAAAATCTGGTGAGCCAGCCAGCAGGACATCCCCAAACCTCAGGAGATCCCGTCAGACAGTGAGCCAAGGGACTTAACTGCACAGCAGCCCAGGGACCTCACCTGACATCAGAAACATCAGCAGCCCGGTGACCTTTGGAGCCCTCAGGAGAAGCAGGCAACCAACAGCTCAGCCAGCAAGGAAGGTAGCTCCTCACACTCTGGGAAGACTCTTTTTTCCCCTTGCTGTGCATAAGTCCAGACTCCTGGTGATTCGGCAAACGAGTCCATCAAGAAAGACACTCAGAAGAAAACCCCCAAAGCATGACCAAACAAAATTTCATTGGAGCCAGCTGATGGATCGCCTGTAACCCGGAGTCAGAGAAGATGTCTGTGCTGCTCTGGGTCTCACCTTCAGTTTTAGTACATTTCAGGTTTCCATAGTAACCATTACTTCGCTTTCAGAAATCTCACAAGAATGTCACATAATTAACACAAAGTTTACCTTTCTCTCAGGAGGTTAGACAACCATATTCCAGTGACCATAGTGAGTTAGCCTTTAACCTACTTCCCAATTTTCTCTGTTTGTTCTGTTCCCTTTATGGCTCCACTCTTCTTTTTACAAAGTTGGTAAGGGGACTAGGGTGTAGGGGTGTCAACTACAGCTCAAGTGAACTTTAAGTGACCTCTCTTACTATGAAGCTAAAATCAGAAAAATGGAGTTTCTCTTGCCCTGTCACTGGGGGAGAGGTAAACCAGTCACCATGTTGCAGTGACCACATTGGAAAACAGAGGCCCTAATGGGGACAGGAGGAGCGCTGCCAGTCAGCTGGGCCCGCATTCTGTTGCTCAGCTACACAGTGTGGAAAGTCTATCTTGGAGGCTGTGAAGGAGGCCTCGGGGGGGCGGGTGAGCCTAAACCAAGCCAAGCAGAGGAGGCTGCTAATAGGCAGTGGTTTGGCATAGCTGCCTGCAGCAGGGAACTAAAAGACATGGACCTGACCTACCTGAATTGCTGCTTTTCTCTGTGGAGTACTTGGTAATTTGTCCTGGACTCGGGCAGCTCTGTGTTTAACACTAAGGGTGTTTGTGCTTCACCCTGGGTATGGGCTCAGGATGAGTGCTTCATTTCCATGGGTTTTAGGTTTTTTCCTTCTCCTTTTCTTTTTTTTTTTTTTTAATTTTTTTCTTTTTTCTGTTTTTTTTCCAGTACCGGGAATCGAACTCACGACTTGGCACTTGCCAGGCAGGCACTGTGCCGCTGAGCTAAATCCCCAGCCCCCTCCTTCTCCTTTTCTGATCCCCTCTCCGCTTCAGCCTTTCAGCTATCAGTGTGTTTAGTTGTTGGTTCTGGGTGTCCATTTGGCATTTCTTCACTCCTTGTACACAAGAAGCTGGACTCTTACTGGCGCACTCAACTTTAGTGTGTTTAGTTGTTGCTCCTGGATAACTAAAAACACTGAGTTAAGAGGTGCATAGGTAAGAGGTACATAGGGCCTGGGACTCAAGGAACTCTACATCTAAACCCATCACTGCTTCATCCCTTCTAGAAGTGCCAAGCACCTGTGGTACAACCCAAGTGCTAGTTCCTTTTTCAGTTATGGATATTCAGCAATGCAAAGAAAAATTTGTAGATTTTCTGAGTATCCTGAAAAATTTGCTGACAGTTTTCATACCCTAAAAACGGCTTATGTTCAAGCTTTTATGAACCTTTGTCTCATGAAATGCCCAGAAATCATGGTAGATAGAGTAGTCTCCAAGGAAGAGAAGGATGTCTTTGATGATCCTGTCTTCAGACCCCACCTGTCTCTCTGGGGAATATGGTTCTTTCCAGTCTGTTTAATGAAGACTGTTTAATGAACCACACTGGGAGTCTCTTTGACCTCCTCCTTATAATCCTCAGGCCATTAAATCAGATCCATCCCCTCCAAGTGACTGAGGAACTATACTAGAGCCTAGTGCTCCAGAGGAAACAAGTATTCCTCAGCCCCCTCATTATGTCTCTCAGAGAGCCTTAAGTCCCTCTGAGTGCACACAGATAGCTGAAGCCCTGCAGAAAGAACCTGAAATGGTGCTTCTTACTCCTCTGATTCATAATTGACCATTTTTTCTGTTTCTTATAGTAAAGATATAATTGTAATAATTGTCCTGCTCCTAAGAGAGGTCCCAGGAGTAGAAAGGACTACTCAAGTTCAGGTCCCCTTTTCAGTCACAGATGTCCAGCAGTGCAAAAAACCAGTTAGACCAATTATCCAAGACCCTAGTAAATTTGAGGATTGGTTTCAAATTTTGAAACTTGCTTTTGACTTATCATGGTGAGATGTCCAATTCAACTTGACCACTTGCTGTGCCCCAGATAAAAGTCAAGGAATCCTACAAGAGTCTAGGATCTGTGCAGATGAGCATTACGCTTTAAGAAGGGAAGAGCTACTGTCCATTTAATGGAACCAAACTGGAACTATAGTACTAGTGAGGAACTAAAAATGATGTTTGATATTATAGTTGCTCTTACTGTGGGGATGAAAAAGTGTGTTAAGAAATCTGTTAACTATGGTAAGGTGAACAGGATCATACAGGCCAAAGAGTTAAAAAATGTTTGGTCTCTGTAACCGATTAGTAGAAGTCTTTTGTAAATATACTAACCATAGATCCATCTTCTTTGGAGGGAAAAGCAGTATTGGGACATCACTGCTGTTGTCAATCAGCCCCAGATACTGTGGACAAAGATTAGAAGTCCTGACTCCCTACCAAGTCAGAGCAGTTCTGGAGACAGAAAGATCACTTGTAGTTAATGGGGAACATCTTACAGTCATCAGGCTATGCTCTTATCCACCCTTGAGGTTATTATAAAAACTTGCACTACTCTTAATCCTGCTTCTCTGATGTCTAGAGGCCAAGAAATTAGCCACTTCTATGAACCGTTTATCTCCCAGACCTATGCAGGCAGGCAAGACATCAATGACCTGCCCCTCTAGGATCCTGATGAGGTATGGGTCACTGATGGAAGTAGCTTCCTCTAAGAAGGACATCAGAAGGCAGGTTATGTACTTCACAACAGAGCCTTAAAGCCAAACCCCTCCCCCTTATTCAAAAAGCAAAGCTAATAGCACTTGCTTGGGAATTGATGTTGGGAAAAGTCAAAAAGCTAAATATCTTTGTAGACTCCAAATAAGCCTTTCTGGTACCACATGCCCATGCAGCAGTCTGGAAAGAAAGACGCTTACTAATTAATAAGCAATCATTATCATTTATCAAGCGAAGACAGGAAATTCCACAACTCCTAGAGGCAGTTCATCTTCCCATGTATGTCGTAGTCACGCACTGTAAGGAGCACCAAAGACACATGTCTGAAGTCCCCTTGGGAAATTACAAGACTGACAGGGAAGCAGAAAGGGCAGCCTGACAGCCCCTTAAGGCTGTAGCCTTATTCCCAGTGCCTGAGGAACCATAAAACCAGTCTGTACTCCCCAGGAAGATAAATTAGCTTTATGCAAAGGGGAATTAAAAAGAGACTCTGGTGGTATTTGGAAAACAAACTGGTTCCTTCCTCAGGAAATACAGTGGAAGGCTCTAAAAATACCTTATGATTCCTTTCATATGGGAAAAGATGCTTCATTGGAGATGCTCACTCAAGTTTTCACAGGACTAGAACTAGCAGCAAACATCCAACAGCTCTTTGAAGCTTGCCCACTCTGTGCCTATAATAACCCAGGCAAGCCCAAACCACTGCTTTATTAGTGCTTTATTAAACCACTGTACAGAGGAGAGAACATACCCTGGGGATGGCTGGCAATTAGATTTTGCCCACATGCCACCATGTGGAGGATTTAAATAGATGTTGGTCCTAATTGACACCTTTACAGGCTGGATTGAAGCCTTTCTTGCCCATTCATTAAAGGCTCTGGAAGTAGTAAAGGTGCTTCTTAAGGAAATCATCCCCTAATTTAGACTACCTCAGTCCCTTCAGAGTGACAATGGGCTCTTTTACCTTTCAAATAACTCATGGAGTGGCAAAGGCTTTAGGAATAAAGGACTATATGTATTCTGCATGGAGGCTTCATCTTCTGGAAAAGTAGAGAAAGCCAGTCAGACCCTAAAGTGAGCTCTGGTTTAATTTTACCAAGAGATATCTGAGTCCTGCTTATGAGAGGACTCAAGGATTCAAGACACTCAAAGCTGTGCTAAATTTGAGGCCGTTTGAGTTATATGAGAGGATATTTCTGTTGTCAGATATGATAGTAGAATCAGAGACCACAAGACTCTTACAATATTTTATTAATCTAGGCCAAGTACAACAGGCTATCCAAATGAGTCCTGCCAGCTGCTGGTTCAGGGGGATCACCTACTGTCCATCTTGGAGACCGAGTAGAAAGAGGAGACTCCTGCAGACAGTTAAAATCAAATGGAAGAGGTCCTTTTCAGTGATCCCTGCCATACCCAAGTGATAAAGGTGGCAGAAATAGATACCTGGATTCATCTTTTTAGAATATAGCCAGTTCCACTTCAACTATCTGAAGAAAAAGACCAACCAAAAGTAAAAACCTACTCCTGTGAGCCTCTGGAAGACTTGAGATTTCTCTTTGAAAAGCAAAACTCCAGTGCTGATACAGATAAGTAAGCAGAATCTTGCTAATGCATGGCTTTCAGGATCTTGCACTTGCCAGGCAGGTGCTTGTGCCACTGAGCTATATCCCAGGCCATCAGGATCTTGATACTTTATTTGACATACCTCTCTGACATATATTCTCCTCCACAGGAAGCATGGACATCTTACCTGCTTCTTATATTTGGGCTAATAGTAAAGTTTCTTTCTTCTATCAAATAGACAGCTCAATAGTCACTAATTCTTTGCTCATTGTCTCCTAATAGTTTTTCTCTTCAACCCAACCAGTGAGCCACAATACCCCAAGGGAGTTGGAAAGCCCATAATCCCCTGTAGGCAGGTCTGTAGCCCCTTCCTGCTGGAAACAGCTATGGAAGACAGATTTCCACTGCCTGAGCACCCCATGAAGGATTACGGGGATTTGTGTCTCTCAGGGGGAAATGAGCTAGGAAGTTAGGGTGTGGCTAAAACTACCTGGGAAGGAGGCTGACAAGATTTTGGAGCATATGTGCAGAATAGTTCTCAGAGCCCTGCATGTGGATGTCTCGTGAGAGCTCTTGCTGGTTATTGATAGGATGATCTGGGTGGATGTAAGTGTGAGAAATATGAAAAACAGTTGCCATTAGGAGCTTGCTACTGTATCTCCTTGTGATACCCCACCGTATACTCTAGGGTATATTTTTATTTTTTTCTACCTCTAATAAATGTGAAACCTTGCCACCATTTTCACTTGTCTCATTCAGTTCTTTGTTTGGGACAGAAATTGCCTTTAAGCAAAGACTCTGGTGCCCCAGAATCCACTAATACAATTACCCTAATATTTAGTAGCTTAAAACATCAAGAATGTATTATCTCACAGTTTCTGAGGGTCAGTAATATAGGAACATTTTAGCCAAATTGTTCTCTCATAAAGGCATCCCCTAAACTGCAGCTATCTCAAGGCTGGATCAGGGCAGGAAACTTCTCTTTCAGGCTCACTCACATATGTGTTAGCAGGCCTCTGTTCCTTGCTGGTTGTTGGCTGGAGACTCCAGGTACTTGCCACAGAACTGTTCCATAGGACTACCAGCAACCTGCCTGCTAGCTCAGAGTGGGCAATCCAAGAGAGAGAATGTACCCAAAACAAACACTAGCATTTTTCATAAACTAATCTTAGAAACGGTATACGGCCATTTTTGCCATATTCTGTTAGTCTGTTAGTCTGTTAGTCTTCACCCTCTGAAGGTGAGAATTAACCTCCATTTCTTGAAGAAAGTGTTAAAAATCTTTAAGGAATATTTTTGGAACCACCACACTCAGGTCAACCCTCTCCTATAAGGTTTAAGCATTGCCTTAATTTTTTCACGGTACCTTGGTTCATGAACAGTTTTGTTTGCGAACGAGTGGTTCACAAACAAAAACGTTCTGCAGAATTGTGTTTTGTTTGCAAACTCCACACCTGGTGATGCACACAGCCATCGCCTTCTTTCCCACGTGAACACAGACGTGCCCTCTGCTTCAGACTTGGGGAACAGGTCAGTTTGTAAACCAGGGTGCCACTGTGTTTTCTAAAACACTAGGCAGTTGGCACATTTTTTATTTTCTGTCTTCCTCCTCTAAAATCTAAGCTCCATGAAGGACAGTTTCTTTGTTTTGCCTCCTGATAAATACTAAAGTACCTTGTGCATAGTAGGCATCCCACAAATATTTGTTGAATAAATAATGTGTCAGTTCTCTGAAACAAAACCGAATTCTTTCCTTTGAAGAGACACTTGTGGATTTAGTCACTTGTATTAAGCTGTTTTTAATTTTAAAATGTCTCTAGATGTATTTACAAGGGCATTTGAGTATTACTATCTTTAATAAAAAAGGTTATTACCTTTGGAATTTTCCCTTTTTGCACAGAGAAGCTTAGTCTGGCAATCCTCCTAGATATGTGGTGAGTGAGTCTCCCTGCAAGTCCCGCTGTTCCCTCCAGTGGGAACCCGATGTAGGGGGGCAGTGGAAATCTGTTCTCTGCTAAAGCTCACTGTCTTCCTGGGAACAAATAATACAACTGTTACTGGGTTTTGGTGTGCTGGAGTTTTCTCTTCAGGTGATTTCTAGGTCCTTTCTGTCCAAGACAATGAATTGAATGAAAGAAGCATAAACAGTGGCAAGGTTTCCACACTTATTAAAGGTAAGGGGAAAAAACAGAAAGGTAGGGGGGAAATGGGGTCTGTAGAATGAGTTTGGGCTAGTATTTTGTACCAGGAATCAAACTCAGGACCTCACATTTGCCCGGCAGGCACTGTGCCACTGAGCTATATCCCCAGCAACATCCCCAATTTTTGCCAGGCATGGTGGTGCACACCTGTCATCCCAGCGCTCGGGAGGCTTAGGAAGGAGGGTTGCCACAAGTTCAAGGCCAGCTTCAGCCTCATAGTGAGTTCAAGGCCAGCTTGGACCTTGTCTCAAAAAACAAAAAAAAAAACCATTCCCAACTTTGTCATTTACAAATTTTGGCTTTTCATATCTACTCATCTAACTGTACATCTGTGGGGCTGTTACAGTGAGGACTGGAGTTAATATATATAAAGTACCTCAGCACTGTACCTGGAGCTCAGTGTGACAGAGGGAGAACACAGCTGCTTACCAGAACTCACCATCTCATAATTTATACTAGTCAGTTGGTTTTACTAGAAAAGAGAGTCTTAAAACTGAGAGGGAATAAAGTCATCTTTCTTCTTTCCAGATTCTCTTAAGAACTGTGCCTGACAGAGTAGTTTCTGGAAAATACTTTTCTGCTCTTTAAGAGCCACATTTTAGAGAAGGCAGTGTCCCTTATGTTTTTAATAACAACAGTAGTAGTAATGGAGTATTTTCTCTTCGCCAGGAATTCCTCTAAACTCAATACATGGATTTTGTTGTTTAATTTTGGCATGTATAGAAGCCAGGGGCTATTATTAGCATTTATTTGTGGATATTTGATGGAAGCAGACATTAAAAAACTTGCCAAAGGTCAGCCAACTGGTAAGCAGATGAATCAACATTAGAAGTCAGGAATGAGGCTCCAAAGAATGTACTCCTGTCCACTTTGTTTGACAGAATGACATTCTATGTGCCTTTCCTCCCCTGAATGAAGTGAATAATGCAAATTGTAATTTGATTCCTGTTGTAAAAATTATTCCTAAGAAATAAATTAAATTACTCCAAATTATATCCTTGTTAAAGTATTTTACATCTCCAATATATAGTATATGGAAGGAAATTTGCATTTTTGTGTATCACATCTAAGATATTCATTTATTCATTCTCTGAATACTTAGCAACTGTTCACTGAATACTTTCTATGTTCAAGCATTGTTTCTAGGCTTTTATCTCATGGCTAAATGCATATGTAGGTAATTATAGTTTCCACTTTCAGCATTTAAAGGAGGCAATGAAACATATACTAAACACATTTATTATCAACCTAAGCTTTTTTAAAAAAAAATTACACCCTATATATTCATAATGTGATTGACGTTTTCCATGCATGTAAATTTTGCTTTGAAGAAAATGCAGCATCCAAACTAGTATCTTATTAATCAGACATATTAGGAAAAGATGACATGCCTTACAAGAATAATCTACTGAATGAAAAACACATATCTGGATATACACACAGAAAAAATAAAAAGTATTGAGTTCAGTGTTCATCTTTAATATTAGTTATTTTGTTGGATCTATTTGCTTTTCCTGTAGAAATGTTACTATCTCTCAATATAGTATTTGGTTTCTAATAAATATGGAAGTGTGGATTACAAAAACATTGTTGTGCCAATTTTAATATAAATATTTACATAATTTTACCTGTTTCAACTTGGTTTTTCTCACAGCAAACTTTGTGAGCTTTAGAAGTCTAGAATCTGACCAGTAGAAGCTATTTTTTCTTTTTGTTTACAGATCAAAGGAAAAGCACTGGCCCAGGAGATGAAGATGATGTACATCAGCACAAGGTATATCTATACTTAGTAATAAATATTTTTATAGGAATAGAACTGTTGGCTACTTTGTAGATTATCAGAAGGAAAAGAAAGGCTTTTGAAGCACTAGTCAGGAGCAGTGATTTCACTTGTAGTTTTAAGACATTACGGAATAATTACCTGAGAATCAGAGTGTTCTAGGCTGTCCATCTGAGAAACAGTTGAGTAAATGTAGCATGTCTGGGCGTGCTGAGGTACTGGTAGTCATTTCCATTCTCTTTCTTTTCATCAAGCTTGTAGCTTATTGTCCATGACAAATTTCCCCTGGTGTAAGCATAGTACAGGAATCAAAGGTATCATCGCATCCCTTCAAACTATTCATAGCAGGTTGTTATTGTTCATCTGTGACAAGTAAGAGGAAGCAGTGTTCCTGTACTCTTAGCAGCACAGCCCATAGTCAGATTTTCAGACAGACTGATTTAGGAGTACATCTGTCCTGTAGTTATTAAGTTCCTTCTTAATTGCTCTACCTGTAGTTCTCCCAGATAACAGAAACTCTCCTAATTCTAGTTATGTAACACATGGAAGAGGAAAATGTTTTTCTAAAACATTCTTGTAAAGCTTCCTTTTAAAGGAAACTTTTGTCTGATTTAGTTTAAAGACTATAAAAATCAAGTAGCGTACAATGTTTTATTATACTTAGTATTATATATTAAATATCATTTTGTATATATTCCAGCAAGTCCTGGGTTAGAGAAAATAATAAAATTGAATGCAACAACTGTTTGACTAATCAGAAACCCAGATTAAATTCAATAAAGATCTTTACCTGAAAATGAAAAACTAACTATATATTTTTGTCTCTATAGAAACCAAAATTTAGTCCTAAAAATCATACTGGGTTTGTTTGTAATGAAAATTCCAGTAGTCCAAAGCCAGAACATGTAGAAGTCAATAAAAGAAGCAAAGAAGGTGTATTTATAAATGAAGATGTATATGAACATTATCCCCAAAATTCCAGAATCACAAGATTTGGTAAATCCAAGGATAAGCAGTCAACTCTTAACCAAACACACTCGAGAGGACTCAGAAAGGGCAGTCTTTGTAATCGCAAAGATACCAGTGCAAATGTGTCTAAAGTTAAAGGAAGAAAGAACACACAAGATAAAAGAACTCAATCAGATGACAGAGAATGCAGTTCAGGACAGGCAATAGCTGTCTCTTCTTCTAGGAGAATAAACAGCTTGGTTACTTGTCAGCAGGATATTCCCCAAACCCTTAATGGCCTTCCAGAAGAGTCATATGAACCTTCCAGCCCAACTCTGTCAAGCCTGAAAGATGGATTAGGTAACAAAGATGAGGTTTATTCAATTTCCAAAGAGGTACATACCCACCATCTCAATTTATTAGAAGGTCAAGAAATACAGTTCTTGGGGTTAGATTATCTTGACCAAACTGAAGCTGGTTCTTTCTCTGGACGTTCGTTACATAAAGAAGTCAACTTACCACTTGTTTCTGCAGATCCGCAGCCTCATGTTTACCAAGAACAACAGACTACCCCTGACAAATCTCATAAAAATAGTAACTCAGGTAAAAAAAATAAGACCTTTAATAAATGGGAAAGTTCTTTCCTATCCTTTATAAAGGATAATTATGATGATTGCTCTATCTCTGAGAAGGCTGTAACATCTAGAATGGTGATATGTTCTACAGTATGCAAAAACATCTATGAAGGGAATTTAAGAAATAGAGAAGAAGGGGATTTTCTGCAGTTTTTACCTTCAGAAGTCCATTTTTTACAGGAAAATGAATTAAGAGAAGGCTTTCTAACTACACTTCCACAACAGGAAGCTGTTAACTTTTCTGATTTAGGTAAGGTAGTAATTTCCGAACAACGTGTTGCCAATTATGAACAGTGCATAGGTGGAACTTCTTTTGACCACTCAGTTGGCAGTACTGAGCAAACTTCCCTGGCGTGTACAAGGACACTTTCCATACAAGAAGTTTTGAAGTTGACTACTCATGTGGAGTTATTAAAAAAGCCTCAAGATAATAGCCCCAGAGAATTGGCTTCTTTAATGAATCAAACAGACGCACATATTATGGAAAAGGTAATGAAAGAAGACACTGAAAGGAATTACAGTGACAACGACCAAAAACAAAGGCTTTTCCCAACTGCTGTTCACTGTCAAGAAATAGAAATAACTAATGTTGAAATAGAGAAACCAGACCTTCCAGAGAGTGAGCCTATGCCTGATACAAATCTTTGTTCCACTCACAATGTGAATAAAGAATTGACTGACATCTCAGAATTTAATCAGAAAGAGAAGGAAATTTCTCACAAACCAGGTATTAGTACTATTGCTCAATCTGTACACATTTCCTATAAAACTTACTTATTTTTATGAAAGATTTCCAACTGAATTCCACTTAGCCAGTGCCCAAACTGAAAAGAATGAGACTATGTGGGTCATGATTTGGGATGCCACTAAGCCTAGTAGTTAAGTAATAATATTTACTTTGAAAGCCACTTATTATAAAAGTTATTGCTCAGCTGATAGTGTATAGAAGCTGGCAAACAGGATATCTGTTAATTTTTATGATTCTTTTTAACACAGTGCTTATTTAATATGAGGAAACCTAACAACATTTCACAGTAGGGATTGTTAGCTCAACTGTGCATTACAACCAGAAAAGTTGGTTACATAAAAACATGTTAAAAGCTTCCATTCCCTTAAATAGTACTACTTGAAACAAATTTCTAAAAACATGAATTTTCTTGTCATATAACCATTAAGGAGAAGTATAATAGTGATACTGTAAAATATTTTTTCAGATGAGGAATTAACTAATAATATCAACGAAGATGAAAACATTGTAACAAATTGTCTGGAGAAAAAAGAAAAAATTGATTCAGGAATTTACATTACTCCTCATGTCCAAGAACATGAAAAAGACCAGAATTTCGGAAAAAGACAAAGTCTCTTGAAAGCTACGTGTAACCAAGGTTTGTATAGTTGTATAGGTAAAAGTTTTGTCAAACCCAATGACCAAGTCTCCTTGAAAGAATTTCTAAGCTTTGAAGTTGCACTATTTTTTTAAGTCATTCACTATTATAAAATTATTACAGCTATATTTGTTAAGGCATTACTTGAGAATCCATTAGACTTTGGATATGTTCTTGTCATATTTCTGACTATTCCAGTTTGCTCTGTCAGGAGGTAAAATAAACAGCAGAAACATCAAGAATATTCATTAGGAGCAGCAGTGGTGAACTGTCTGAGATTCCTTAAGTACTTCCAGTCATTTTAACTTAAGGAATATTAAAGAAGCATTGCCACTAGATTCTTTGTGTCAGACAAATGATTTGCCCTGTGGGAAGCTATTTCTTCTTTGATGGTTTTTAGGGCTAGTTCTGTGTTGAAAAATAAACCTGGGCCACTTCAGGTTAAACATTAAGCATTGAAAAGATGATTTACAGTGTTAAGAGGTAGGGCAGCTGATAAAATCAGTTCTCTGTGAACATTGTCCTGTTTTTCCCCCTTTTACGTAAAATGAAGCCCTTCTTACATATCCTGTAGTGGGTTGAATGATGGCCCTAAAAACACATCTACTTCCTAACCCCTGGAACTCTTAAATATTACTGTATATGGTAAAAGATTGGATATTAACATTTTTGGAAAAAGAATATTTGAGATGAAGTAGATCATCCTGGATAATCCCAGTGGACCTAAATTAATGACAGATATCCTTATTATAAGAGGAAAGTAGAGAGAGACTTGAGACACAGCAGAAAGACAAAGGAACGATATAGCTGTCAACAAAGGAAGCTGAGGAATAGTGACAGTCTTCACAAACTGGAAGGAGCACACAAGCATCTACACTAGAGCTTCCACAGGATATGCAGCCCTGCAGACATCTCAGTTTTGGACTTTAGCTTTCTCCTGATGGTGACAAAATGAATTTCTCTTTTTTTTTTTTTGGTACTGGGAATCAAACTCAGGACCTTGTGCTTGCCAGGCAGGTGCTGTGCCACAGAGCTATCTCCCCGGCCCTGAATTTCTGTTCTTTTAAGCCACTCAGCTTATGGTAATTTGTTACAGGTGGCATTGAAATACTTCTCTAGTAATACACTTAACTGCCTGTAAATGTAATATTTATTACATGCTGTCATTCCACTAAGCCACTAGAGCAGAGAAATGAACTTCCTGAGAAATAACAATTTTAGATATGATATCCAGGAATTCCCTAATACAGAGGTTAATTTATTTCCTTATCACCCAACAGTGAATTCAGCCAGGTTCTGAACTCTGTTGCATTCCCCTTACCCTTTACAGGTTTCCAATCACATTCCATTTTCTCTCATTGAAACAGAAACAGCCAAAGATCAACAGGTATTTGTGGAAAGCCCCAATATGAAAGGTAAAAGTGAGCTAAATAGACCAAGAGAACCCAGAAAAAAAACAAGCAGTAGAAGAATTGGGAAATACCTGAAATTTGAAAAAAAAGATGAACAATCAGAGACCAGTTCTAAATTTTTAGGTGTTAAATAGCATAAATTTAAAGAGATACACAGGCACAGTTAGATGGTAAGGCCTTATAAACCTTATATAAAGGACGAAAAAAGAAAAACTGGGAGAATAAGAAAGTTGGGTGAACACTCACTCCAGGAAGCCTAAGGAAAACAATGAAAGTAAGAATCATCAAAAAAATAACACAAGAAATGAAGGACAGGGGTTTCTATAGTGAGAGGCCCATTAAGCATCCAGTACAATGAACAGCATACTGCACTATACATTTCAGAACAAAAATGAAAAGATTCTAAAACCTCCCAGAGAGGAAAAACAGATCATATATGAAGGAACAAATTATAGTATTTCTCAATAGCATTGTACGTATTAATAGTACAGTGTGAATCCAAACTACTTTAAAGGAGGGTTAGTGTGAGTACTGTTTGTCTCCTTCTGAGCTTTTGCCAGATACCAAAATTTTCGTTAAATCCTATGGAGACTTAGGATGGTAGTAACATTCGGTAGTTTTAAAATTTTTGCTCCAAAATCTTTTATCATCTGGCTGTCTTTGCTGCAGATACACCAGAAACAAGGTAAAAGGATTTGTGGCATCAACAATAAAAATTACTAGGAGAGATTTTCAATTTAAATGTGTAATCTGCAGGCCAGAAATCTTAGATATTTTATAATTTTAAAATATATTCTCCCTCTCTGCCTTTGTGTGTGTGTGTGTGTGTGTGTGTGTGTGTGTAGTGTGTCTTCTTCCAGTAAAGAATTCATGAGTGTGATTATGCAATTCTCTTTAAAAAACAGTATATTTTAGTCTGGATGTCAGTGGAAGGTAGCTATAGTCTGCCCTGTGAATCAACAATCCATGAGTTGGAGAATAATCATTTAATCTTTTTATCTCTCACTCTTAAAATTGTATTGTGGCTCCTGGCATTTAGGAAATACAGTAAGAAAGTTTTTATGGTTTCATGCAGTGAATTTTTTTTCTTTAAAGATGGGGTAGATATCTATGTTACTTAGGCTGTCCTTAAACCCAAGATTCTCCTGCTTCAGCCTCTCCAGTGTCTGGGACTACAGATGTGTGCTGCCACTCCCAGCTTAATGCAATGATTCTCAAACCTTAGGTTACATCAAAATCATCTCAAGAGCTTAAACAGATTTCTGGGCCCCACTCTCAGAGAGTCTGATATAGTATGTATCTTAGTTGTCTCTGTTGCTGTGTAATAAATTATCACTAGTTTAAAGCAACACACATTTATTATCTCCTGGTTTCTGTAAGGCAGGAAATAAGTATGGCTTAACAGGTCATCTGACAGGATCTTCAGTAGGCTGCAGTCAAGGTGTTGATGAGGACCACATCTCATCTGAAAGCTGGCCTGGGGAAGGGTACACCCCCAGCTCCTGTGGTTATTGACAGAACTTACTTCCTGGAGAGTGCTTGGCTTGAGGGCCTCAGTTCCTTACTGATCCTGCTGCATGGGCTTCTGCAACATGGCTCTTTGCTTTATTTTGCAAAGCATACAAACTGAACGCAGTAGAGTGAGTCTCCAGCAGGAGGGAAATGTTAAACCTGATCAAGGAAGTGAAATGCCTTTAGCAGGTCTTTTTTTGGGGCTGGGGGTTGCCGGGAATCAAACTCAGGACCTTGCACTTGCCAGGCAAGTGCTATGCCACTGAGCTACTTCCCCAGCCCGTGAAATGCCTTTAATATTGAAGTATTCTATTGGTTAGGAGCAAATTATTCATGAAGCTACAAATAACAAAAGTGAAGATCGTTAGGAGCCATTTTACTTATTTACTTTTATTTGTGCTCCTGAGGTATTCAGAGGCAATTTCTTTATTTACAGCTAACACCACAAGAACAATCTATGACCTAAAAGTCAAACAGCTGAAAGAGGCAGCATGAATGTGCTGCCACGTTACAAGTTCCTAATTAATGAGTGATTCAGGTATTTCAGAAATAGAGGATGGTGTTTCAAGTTGTTGACTTAAGAGAGTTGTTGCCTTTTTTAAAATAGAAACTTGAAATTTCAGTCCTGTAATATTTAAACGATCACCTGGCATTTCATTTCTATTCACTTACGACTTCATCCCGTATTTCCATGTAGTCAGTCAATAATCTGGCAGATGAGACTTTTATCCTTCAAGATGAGTTTCTGTGCTGGTAGGAGCCATTTTAGAGTGCGCTCCCAGAGCAGGTGTGGGGTGAGCTAGAGAATTTGCATTTCTAGGAAATGTGCTAGGTAATACTGGTACTGCTGATTTAATGAATATTCTTTTCTGTTTCATTACCCTAACTTTGTATTTTTCTTTACACCTCCGTCCAAATCTTCTTTGATGCAGCTCCTACAGGAAATAAACCTCCATGTCCCTCACTTTGGGGTGGGATCCGGAATAAGAGGAGTCATTGCCTGCCAACTCAGAGTAGGGGAATGGAACTTGGAGTTCCAGAATTTCTGTACATAAACTTTTAATCAATCTCTCTGCTCCGTTCCATGCACCTGCCTTCTAAAAGTGCCCACTGCCTGGGCTCAGACTGACTCTCTTCCTTTAAAATTTGTAGTCATGTAGTTTAGAACATTCCACACTCTGCTAAATCAGTTCATACTCTTTTTTACCAGTGACTTTTCCACTCTCCCCAAACTGTTGAAGTTTGTGTTCTATAGTTTCTTTCTCTATGTATGATACTTTAAAAATATGCTATTTTATCCTTTTAGCAGGACTTAGGGAGAAGATTGGGGGTTATATGATCTATTCATTGCTTTTAGTTCCATTGTAAGTTTCTCTAACTACTATTGCAAAAAAACAAACCTTAAAAAATGTATCTTTGGACAATGCTATTGTACTGAATCTTTTATAAAAAAAAAAAATAATAACCAAATAGGCCTGCTGAGATAAAGACTAACTGTATAAAAAGGATTTTTATACTACATAATTTAAATAAGAGTTTTAACCATTGCTAAAGGACTACTGAGAGTGAGATGACTGTATAACTGAAAACTAGTTTGTTAATCAAGCAGTTTGGTCGACCAGCTGTTAAAATGCATGCCAAATGTGTGCTTACGTGCTCTATAAAATTTCTGCTCAAGTTCTGCTGTAGGACAGTGAAGCAGTTATTATTAATTGATGTGTTTAGACTGTTTTGGGGAAATTGTTCCAACCTCAGTTTTGCTTGGCAAATTTGCAGAAATAAAACAACTGGGATCAATAAGAGGAATGCCAGAGGGGAAAGCAGGCTTCATTCAGCTGCCAAAAGGGGAGATTTATCCCTAGTTAAAGTTCTGGGGGGCTGGGGATTTAGCTCAGCGGCAAAAGCGCCTGCCTGGCAAACTCAAGGTCGTGAGTTCAGTTCCCGGTACCGGAGAAAAACCAAAAAAAAATAATAATAATAATAAAACAAATAAAAATAAAAAAGTTCTGATAGAATCTGGAGCAGATGTGAATCTAAAAGAGTGCAGGTTTCAGTGCAGGTTTAGGTACTTTTAATCTAATTGTTTATATAATTTGACCTCACTGAAATTCATATTTTATCCCCTCCTCCAATTTTGATCCTGGCTGATATAACTTTGAGCAGTCTTTTTAGCCCTATATTTTTATTTAATTGAATGTTAGTATTCAGCATTGCTAAAGTTATGTTCTCCTTTGAAACAGTTTTTGCATCCACTTGAGAACATTCAAAGGGAGATAGAGAATAAAAGCAAAGGAGTTAGACCTTTTTCTTGGAAACCTTAATTTCTTGCCTTGACTTTGGAGCTGATAGAAAATATTTGCATTTTCCTGTCCCTGCCTTTCTTTCCTCCTCCCCTTACACTATTCTCTATTTCTGCTCTCTTCTCTCATTTCTATTCTAAACTGCCAGGTTAGAAATTGATCTTCTAACATTTTGCTTATGCATAAAAAAATCTTATGAAGAACCCCAGAAGGAAAACACAATGGTTAATGGACCCAGATGTCCCTTTTAAGAGAAATGTGACAGTGCGAAGAGATGAATATGAAAGCCATTTTAATAGCTGAGTGGAAACAAATTGAAATGATTAGTACTTAACTCTGGTTCCATTATATCTTATGTCATATGAATCTTTCATCAATATTTATGAAGACATCAGTTAGTGTTCAAAAATGAAGCTTACACAGTTTAAAGCTATGGTTATCAGTACTGTATTTCTTGTTCATTAATAAAGATTAATTCCACTAATGCAAAAAATTTAGTAATAAAGATATTACATGAATGTTGATTGGTAATGAGTAGCTTGCTCCTTTGTTTCTCTTTTTTGCTTTTTTAGGTTGGACACCACTTCATGAGGCATCTACTGAGGGATTTAGTGATATAATTGTAGAGTTACTAAAACCTGGTGCTAATGTTAATTGTGAAAGTACAGATGGAATTCTACCCTTACATGATGCTGTTGCAGGCAGTCATTTAAAGGTAAGTACATGATAAATTAGGTTTTTACTTCTTTTCTTAGGAAAATGAGTGAACAAAATGTAGATATTTTAAGCTGAGACCTAAAGTGATTCCTTAAATCAACAAATGATTTTGAAACCTGCTAAAATTATAGATGCAGGTATACTGAATCATTTTTCATGATTTTATGATATAATTAATATAAGGCAGAAGAAAACATTCTATAAATCTGATGCATTCCATCTCTAATTATCTAAAATGTCTTTTTGGTTTGTACAAAAGAACCCAATTTTAGTGATTGTACATGCAACAGCTAGATTTTCTTAAATTCACATTTCCCAGGGACATAGGATAGAAACAAGAGTTTCTTCTTCTTTGAAGTTTACTGCATCTTGTTTTTCTCAGGTGCAGTTATAGTAAAAACTAGCACAAGAAAAGATACAAGGGTAATTTTTTCAGTAACACAGAATTTCACATTTAGACCTTAAAACTCATTAGATTTTAAAACTCATCTTTTTGTTAGACAAATCTAGGAGGAAGCTTATCATTATCAATAGATAATGTAGACTTCAGGAATAATAATTCATTTTGAAAAGACGGTAAAGAGGGGGCTGGGGATTTAGCTCAGCGGCACAGCACCTGCCTGGCAAGTGCAAGGTGGTGAGTTCGATTCCCAGTACCAGAAAACAAAACAAAACCAAAAGAAAAGATGGTAAAGTAAATCACCAAAGAACAATATAAAGTCAGGTGTCATATAAAAAATTCCTTGGATCCCTCAGGAGTATTTACTTATCTATCTCAATATTTTTAAGAGCCTAGTGAATTTTATTTAATTTTTTGAAAGTATTCCTGTCATTTTTAGCCTAAGTGGTCATGTGATGGAATAATGTTACTGGATATATGATTTACAGAGATCAGAGATGTGAACTAATGATTAAGAATAATACCACAGTGGTTAGTCTACTGTTCAATGTATCTTTGTATCAATGTATCAATGTATCTTTGTCCTTTAAGATATTTAAAGTAAAATAAGGCAATATTTTATAAATTAATATTCACTAATAAAAATATACTTAAAAATAATAGATAAATTCTCAGAGTTCTGTGGTTCTAAATGTAAGAAACCAAAGAATAATTAAAGTGATGAGCCCAGCACTTATTTATACAAGTTATTTATACAATTTTACTATGACTGCATCTGAAAGTGATGAACCAGGCAGGCGCTTGTGCTGCTGAGCTATATCCCCGGCCCAAAAGTGATGAACCTAGTAGTTATTTATACAAGAAAAATGTCATTTAACATGAAATCACTTAAGTGAATGACAGAATTTCATAGTGGAAAAATCACATTTTTGGACATTATCCTAGAAAGTGCTACATTTAAAAAGTTAGAAAAAAAGTTCTCATATTTGTGTTGGGAATAACCACCATCAAGACTTAGAGAATTTGGTATATAGTTGTATGCATGGCTAAGATTTTTTTATACCCATTGTAGTAAGGATGCACATCTGGATCATAAGAGAAAAGTACTGGTAGAAATTGGAGGTATCCATATGAAAGCTTTCTCTGCTTTCTTCCTCATGCAAGGTCACACAGAGCTTACTCTCTGTACCATTTTATCCTACCAGCAATGAAGATGTAGAAATGCATGTATACATGATGTATCTGCCCAGGGAAGCCCTTTAGAGATTCAGTGCCAGAGTTTTTATTGTAAACAACCTAGAATTAGCACATACCAAAATTCCAGACTCCCAGAAACATAAACCACATTGTCTGAATGAGTTTGAGTGTAGCGTGTTGCCTTCATCAGTTTTACATCAGCTGCAGAGGACTGTTTACTAGCCAAGTTCACAGATGCCAGCTAAAGTCCATGTGAGTAACCTTTTCAATAGCAACTTGAAACCAGCTGTGTTAATACTTTTCTGAACAGTACTATACAGATAGTTCCTGACTTCTAATCTGTCGACTTTATAGTGGTGCAAAAGCAATATACATTCAATAGAAAGAATATCAAATTCACATTTTTATGTTTTCTTGGGGTAATAATATGTAGTATGACATGCTCGTTTGAGACTCAGCAGCAGTGAGCCACAGTTCTGTCAGCCACAGGATCACAAGGGTAAACAGTGATACTCTACAGTGTACTTTCTTGCCAAGCTGTGATGTTCTATACTGTTAAGTATGTTAAATGCATTTTGACATAGGTATTTTCAACTTACTCAATATAGCTATCTTGGCGTTTATAACTCATCATAAATTGAGGAATGGGTATATTAAGGTTCTAGTTGGAACATGTGTTAATTTTTAGGGCAGCAAAGACTAAATAAAGTTGGGTTCTTTGGCTTCATTTTTCTAGCAAGATTGTGTGGCAGTATATCGGACATCCTTTATCTCACAGTTGACTTTTGTGTCATGATCTCAAGGTAAATCTGAAAAGTTTTAAGAGGCACCACGAGTCTTCTCTAGGTCCTATACTAATCTTTTCATACGTGATTCTGCCAAGAAATTAAGTTGTTGAGTTGTCGAGTTTGGTCTTGAACTTGCATACCTGCTGCCGCAGCCTTCCAGACTGTTGAGATTATAGGTGTGCACCACCATGACCAGCCACATTATTTTTTAATTTTATTTTTTATTAGTACGTTTGCCATATAGAATAATCACATTCATCATAGGAAATTTTTTTTTTCATCATAGGAAATTTATATGTGTATATAATATATTCTAATTCTTCTTTCCCAGTTCCCTCCTCTCCTTTTTGCACTTCTGCCTCCCCATTTATAGAAGTTTATTTCCATTTCTTTTCTTTCTATTCTCTTTTTTAAAAATTCTTTTTGCTGGGCACAGTGGTGCATGCCTGTAATCCCAGCACTCGGGAGGCTGAGGAAGGAAGATTGCCTTGAGTTTGAAGCCAGCCTGCACTATATAAGTGAGTTCAAGACCAGCCTGCATTACGTATAGCAAGACCCTGTATCCAAAAGAAAAAATTCTTTTTCCCTTCTTTCCCTTCCCCCTTCACTCTTCCTTTTCCCCTTCCCATTTGAATATATTCATCCTACTTTCCAATATTTGTGCTCCATTATGCTTCTTGTTTATAGTTTGGGTTTCTCACACAAGAGAAACAATGCCATATTTAAACTGTGTCTGATTTATTTCATTTAGATTATGGTCTTGAGGTGCATCCATTTACCTAGAAATGTTTCCTGTTTATCCTTCTTTATGGCAAAGTAGTACTCCATTATATATAAAACCATGCTTTATTCATTCATCTGTTGATGGGGATATGAGTTATTTCCAAGATTTAGCTATTATAAATTGTGCCGCTATAAACATGGGTATGTATATATCACTGCAATATGATGCTTTTGATTCTTCTGGGAAGATACTTAGAAGGGGAACACCTGGGTCAAATGGAACCTCTAGTTTTAGTTTTTTGAGGAATCTCCATACTGATTTCCATAATGGTTGTACCAATTTACACTCCCACCAACAATGGAAAAGCATTACTTTTTTCCCACAGCCTCACCAGCATTTGTTGTTGATTTCTTGATAATAGTCATTTTTTTCTGCAGTAAGATGGACTCTCACTGTTGTTTTAATTTGCATTTCACAAATGACCAGTGATGTTGAACAGTTTTTCATATATTTACTTGCTGTTTATACGTCTTCATTTGAGAAGTGTGTATTCATTCCAGACGCCCGTTATTGGCTTGGGTCTTTAAGTTTGGGAGATCTGATATTTTTTGACACCTCAAAAGACCGGTAGGTAACTTCAAACTTACTAATGAATGACTGAAATTTTTTCCCTAAATATCAGGAACGTTAACAAGGATACTTGCATTCAAAGCTTCTAAGCAATGTTGTACTGAAGGTCTTAGCTGGTGCAGTTAAAAAGAAAAAAAGACATCCAATTTTGAATCCATGGGTTTCTTTATTTCATATAACATGACAAAAACTGTTTCATATGACATGATTTACAAAACCCACGAGAACGATAAGTATGTAATTGTAACAAGGATTCAACAGTATTTCTCTATATCAACAGTGAACACTTGGAAGTCGAACTTTTAAAATAATATTTATGATTTTATAAAACTATTAAATGTTTGGGAATTAATTTTATTAGATATATCAAGACCATTACACCTTTATAATGCATGTGTAGGAGACATTGTGGCTCAAAACTTGGGTCTCAGGTTGCCTAGGACATGTTAAGGACATGAACCTGCTGTCCAGTGCAGATGCAGAGCAGGACAGCCTTGTGTAACCATGACTTAGCTTTAGAAAACCATGCATGCACTACTTTGGCCAGCAGAGAAGAGTGTAAATAGTGATAGTGGCATACATGAACATTAAACTATATAGACGCAGGGGCTCTTGCTGCTGCCTGCCTTTTGAATGATAACTGCCCTGCATGCCTTCTTTTCCCTGAGGATCTCACCTACAAAAGTATTGCTCCAGGGCCCTGGCCTCCACAGCATGCTACAAAACACTGCTGTAGGGCTGGGGATATAGCTCAGTGGCATAAGTGCCTGCCTGGCAAGCACAAGGTCCTGAGTTCGATTCCCAGTACCAAAAAATAAATAAATAAACATTGCTGTAGGGGCTGGGGATTTAGCTAAGTGGCACAGCACCTGCCCTGCAAGCACGAGGTTGTGAGTTCGATTCCTGGTACCAGGAAAACAAAAAAAAAAACCACTGCTGTAAAAAGAAGACCTGAATAAATGGAGAGATACACCATGCTCATGTCTTGAAAGATGTGGTATTGTTTATGTGTCGATTCTAATCAAATTTACCTACAAATACAATACAAATTCAGTCAAAATATTGTCAGGAGTTTTTTAGAAATTGATAAGCTGCTTCTGTAATTTGTATGGGAATTAAAAAGCTTAAAATAAGAATATTTTTAAAAACAATTTAGAGGAATTACCACTATTTGTAGTGAATAGATGTTTATTCCATACACATAGTAATCAAGAAGTATGTTATTGTCATAAATTAGACCATGGTTTCTCAACTTTGGT